GGGTAAATGACTTGCAAGATTGTTCGAGTCATATTAAGGTCTGTAAGTGGAGACTAAAATAGCTTAACTATACTAATGACAAATTCCAAAGTAGGAGTCCATGTTTAGTTCGCTTTAATTAAGTTCTCCTACAGTCCTACCTACTCACTTATATTATTAGCTAGGGATCTGATCATTAGTTATTTTAGTGTTCTTAGCCCAAATATCTCCAACGATAATAGAGTTAATTATACCATAGACATAATAGAGTTAATTATAAGTATACCTTATATTGGAAAGAGTTATTTTAGTTAGATGGAATAGAGTTAATTATAGCATAAGATAGGCGTGACAAAGTAACATTCATAATGCTCCAAAGTCCAAACTAACACTAATAGGTTTGGTAGGTTGGAACTCAATAATAGCTTTTAGCTTTACATTTCCATGACTCCATAAATAACACTCCATCGTTAGGTTGCCTAAGTCTTTCCTATTTTCATATTGTGTCAATATATATCTAGCTAGCTATTTGATTTGGATGTAACTTGTTGTTAATCAACCTTACCTCATTTATTACCCACAATCATATATACACGTCTAATATAATAGATATACAATTAAGTTTTAAGAAAAGAAAAAAGTAGGTACGTACCTATTATTACGGGTGATGAGTTTGGCAAGAAATTGCCAAAGACGATGGTTTTTGCAGATGAGGAGACAAATGGTTCGGCTAATGTGTTCATACCAACAAGCCATCGACGCTCCAAACGCTATCGGTGGCCAAACCCTCCGTGGCGCCACTTTCCTCATCACGTACTGCCTTGGCTCCGCCTCCGTCTCCGGCACGGGGTGGTACGGCTTCGCCATACATGCAAACGTGTCAAACCTCAATAAATCTTATATATAAATGTTAACACTACATGCACGTGTACAATTCAATTGCTTATATATTTATGAATGCGTATTAACTAACCGGAGCGAGAAGGGTTAGTGACTTAATGGAACCACCATGCCTAGAGACCAAGCCAAGAGCCAAGATGCAACCCAAAGAGTGAGCCACAATGTGGAACGACTTCACATTGTGTTTAAGCAATACCGATTTCTCAATCATGTCCACATGCTCTCTCATCGTGTACAGTGAATCCGCAGGCTTAGGACTCTTCCCAAACCCTAAAAGATCCACGGCAAATAGTCTATAGTTCGAATTCAACAAGCTTGGAAACACTGTCTCTGTCCAAAACGCCGATGAAGATATGAAGCCGTGGATAAACAACACGTCCTCTCTCCCAGTGATATTGCCTATAAAAATATTACAGTTGTAACAAATAACATAAACCATACTACTCTTTAAGGAAAATATCTAAACATAACATTTATTGTTAATTCATTTTAAGGTATTTATTAATAATATTTAATCATAAATATTACTCTTCTTTGATTTTTACTGTTGTGGTGTAAATTGCAATAATATTCATAGAAAATGTGAATACCTTTTGCTTTTGGTAATTGAGTTTTGACAAAGAGGGACTGATCTTTGACACAAGTGGAGGTCCAACATGTGCAAAAACCACAATCACAATCCGACCATCTCGAGACTTGCCGGCTCAAATTCTGCGGCTTGATCTTGCCTTGAAGCATCTCAACGACCGTAAAGCTCACCGTAAACTTAGACATCAACGTCCTCCCTTTCCTCTTACTCGTCTTCGTCTCGCCACACTCGGAGTTTGACCGAGTCACGCTCACTAACCGTCTGGCGAGATCGTTAATGGAGAGCTTAGAGAGGTCGTATAGAAGAGAAGGACGTGAATAAAGAGTTTCTGAAATTTCCTCCAGCTCAATCTTGGAACGTCCACTGCAAGACAAAAACCAGCCGGTTAGGTTAGAAGACGGAATTAAAATTTCATTTTCTTATTTCAACTCCTAGATTGCATCCTCTTTATTAGTGATGGTAATGAATTCTTGGAAAGACAAAAGGGACAATACGTACGAGAGATATTAAAGCCTCTTTCTTTTTTTGCATAGCTATTACTATCAAGATTTAGTTAATATAGTAATAAAACAAAACCTAATGAGAATTTTGGACTCTACCGCGTTGTTGTTGGACAAACAAGCCACGTTTGTTCTTAAAATGACATGTTTTTCCTTTTTTTTTGTAATTAGTTGCCAAGAAAAAAAAAGAAAAATGAATACCTAAGTTGTTGAAGGGGAGAAACAGTGAGAATCTTGGATTCACCATTGTTATGAGATACGACGATGTTCCCTTTGGTGGTGGTGGTGGTGGTGATGAGTTTCTTGGGAGACAAGCAATAGCAAGGCTTCCACTCTGATTCGAGGAGATAATCAGCAGTTTTGTAAAGAAGACAGAGCAAAGAGTCGACGATGTCTAAGAGACAAAACACAAAGAAGCTCACGACCTCGTTCACCCATCTCCCTACTGATGCCGATCTTGTCTTCATCGCACCCATGCATGAACTTGAAGTTAGATTAACACAACTCTCTCTTCTTTGTTTGAGTTGATGAAGAAGAGAGATCTATGTGTGATGTTGTCCCTCTTGTCTTATTTGATACGCTTAGATGTGTATATATAGACAATATAATCTCTCTCTCTCTCTCTCCCTCTTTGAGAGTTGCGAAGAGGAATCTATGGAGGGATATGGGAAATTGTAATGCGAGGGTTACTTGATTATATAATAGAAATCATAAAAACAACATGTGGTTGTGCATAGTTTTGGACATTTGAAATGGCTTTTCTTTCGATATTCTATGTATATTAAGAAAAGATGGTGACATTTGCAATTGACCTTTTGCACTAAAATTAGAGAGAGAAGGGAAACGAAAAAGAAAAATAAAGATTGGTGACTTTTGATAGAAATAGATTCCGAAGGTACGATAGCGAAAGCGTGCAAGAGAGCTAATGTATATTTCGTAAGACTTTCATTTGCAAGGCACAATGGAGATTGGAGAAGATCTTATATATTCCATTTTTATAACAGTATTGTGTTTGTTTTTCTATGATAAAATAAAAATGTTACTTTTGAATTTTGTTTAATCATGAAGATCTAGTAAATGTGGTTTCCGTCCACAAAATTCAGTTTCCTAAATATACATGAAACCAAAGTTAGTAAGAAACCTTTTTAGTGAGTGGCTCCAAAAAACTTAAAGTCACATATCTATATCAAGGTTGTTTTGAAAAAATATTGGAACACAAGGTCTATAAAGTTTTGAGTACCAAAAGAAGAAACAAATCAAAGAGATAAATAAAGTAAAATGTTTAGAGTTATTGAAGACACTATGAGAAGTGGTAGGTGGTGGTTGAACCATCTTGTGAATGAATCAAATCACAGAAAATTGCTCTCTCCATGACCTGGCTTTATCATACACACTCAAGTCATTCACATTCCAATAAACTTTCTCTTCTTGGGTATCGTTGATATTTTATTTTCCACTGGATTATAGTTTCTTTCTCTCACTAATCCAAACTTTCTTATCTAACTACTTAAACCTTTTGTCTCTTCTAAAGATGTGAGGAAATATTTTAATAAGAGACTAAAATTTCTTTGTTTTATAAATTGTAAAGGTTGCAGTAAATATATTTTGGAGAGTCAATAATTTATGCTAAACAAGATCTCACTTGATCTTTGTGACCTAGCCGTAGCTGATTACTTGTTTTAATTTAAAAGTTAAAAGAATAATGATTTATATATCTTTTTTTTTTAACAAAAAAAAATAAACAAGATATGTTTCAAATCCACTAAATACTACAAAATGGTATACGTCAATTTTTATTTTATTTTATAAATAAAATGTTATACATCTTGTTGAAACTCTTATACTTACTAATTTCTTATATAAATGTGTAATATATTATATTTTTTCAGAAACCTTTTTTTATCATCTCATAAAGATATGGGAAAACAAAAATCAACAAATTGCAAACACATGGAAAGCTAAAAACAAGTTGAGAAAGAAAAAAAAAAGACATGGTGTCCGTAACAGTCCGTAACACATAGGTCACGGGTCATAGTGACTTAAAGAAGATCCTGCAACCACAACGGTAAAAACTAACAACATCAAATGTGACACATTAAGCAATCAGAGATAATAACTTATGATTTTCATTCGAAGATCTTCACTCCATAAACCATTCATTGATACCTTCCAAATCATGTATTAGCTAGGCTGATAATGAACGAAAAACAGAACTATTATAAATTATGATCGTGCTTTATCAAAAAAAAAAAGAAAAGAAATTATGATCGTGTATAGTTTTTGGTGGCTGAGCTACTCATTTTGGTATTAAATATACTTCTGCAGCAAGAAAAACTTGATCAACTATTCTACAACATACTATATATTCAGAACTTTTTTAACTTTGGAAAATGAATTATGAATTACATTATCGTGTTAATGTTTGCAAGTAAACGGCGTTATATATTTTGTAAAAACATCTTTACATTATATGGGGGGGGGGGGGAGGACAAAAGCTAGTTTGAACCAATAGATTGACGAATCTCTTGAAACGTTACTTGGTGAGTTATAACTTTAGTTACACTTCATAGTTAAGGGCGTACAACTAACAAACATATCATCATTTACTATAACTTAATCTTTCATTTGTAGTTTATTCACATTTTGCCCATACATGGATCGTGTTATCATAGGCAAGGCTTCCTAACAAAACAAAATTTAATTGCATTCCGGAATACGGAGAGAGGTCACCATAACTTTTCCCAAAACAATGATACATTTTCATCCCCCACACTTTAATTCTATCATATTTATGGTTATAGTATAAATCTATCTCAACATTTTAATATCGTTTAAACAAAGTCACTCTTTATATACCCACCCGAATAAATCAAATCTCAAAAAAAAAACGAAAAAAATTTAGAAAGCTTTTGTATCTTCGATGGGCTATAAATGGGCTTTATATTTGAAGCATTAAGGCCCATATGAGTTCAAATTTGCTTTATATTTAATTATTATTTATACGCTTTGAAGTTTCAACACCGTGATAAAAAATGGCAACGGCTAGAAGCTGGAAGATTGGGAGGGAAATCGGAGACGCCGTGATCAAGGCGTCGAGGAGCCCTAACCGGAGATGGTACGGACCTCACATGGCCGCGTCGGTCCGAGCAATATCCGAACGCATACCATTGGTCGATTTCGTACTCGAAATCAGAGACGCTCGTGTTCGTTTCACTTGTTTCTCTTTCGTCTTCCAAGTGTTCGATCAATTGCCTCAGAGACGCAAAGCTAAGTTTTTTCTTTTCTTTTTCTCCTTCTGTGTAGATTCCGTTGTCGTCTGAGTATGAATTGTTGAGAAAGCTTTCTCCTTTTCCGTCGAAACGGATTATTGTGTTGAACAAAATGGAGCTTGCGGATCCTTTAGAATTGAAGAAGTCTATGGATTACTTTGAGGAGAGAAATAATCTGTCGTATGCAGTAAATTCACATAACAAAGAATGTGTCAAGCAAGTAACATTTTGATTCCAATATTTCTCTTTTTGATTTCATCATCTTCTCTTTATTGCTAAAGAAACTTAAAAGAAGATCCTTTTTTTCTTTCTTTCAGTTTCTCAACTTCTTGCAGAGTCGAGTGAGGGAATTGCACAAGTCTGGACATTTGGGTCATACCACAACCATGATGCTCCTTGGGATACCGAATGTTGGAAAATCCGCTCTCGCCAATTCTCTTCATCAAATTGGGAGGATTAGTGCTGCAGGTTTGCTCCTATCTCTCAAAGGATCGTTGCTTCTTGATCAGTTTTAACATTTTCATTTACAGAGAAAGGTAAGCTTAAGCATACAATAGTTAGTTCACAGCCTGGAGATACTAAAGACATTATGAGCTTGAAGGTTTGTTTCCCTTTACTTCACGATTCAACAATCTTTAAAAGCAATTTCAGGATTCGTTAATTCGATTTTCTGTTACATTTCATGGCTACTTTTCTTCTTGTTTACTTGTTTCAGATTGGTAGCCATCCAAACGTCTATATACTGGACACGCCTGGAATCTTTCCTCCTAACCTGCTTGATGCTGAGATATGCTCAAGATTGGCTTTAACAGGTTTAATAAGCAACTAAACTTATCAGCTCTTGAAACACTTGTTCTATAGCGCTAAGTACTTATCTAGGGTTTCTTTTTTCGACAATGTTAGGAGCTATCCCGGATGATATAGTTGGGGAGACAGAGCTTGCACGCTTCTTGCTAACTATTCTCAACTCGAGCGACGAATACAAGAAATGGGCAAAGCTTTGCAACTCTCAAGACTTATCAATCCACCGTAAGAGACAGTATCCAACAGATCATACACAGGTATACACCAAAACACAATAAGCATTATCTTCTAATCAACTTATCTTTTCGTTTTGTTGTTGTGATGAGTTTTCTTCTTTTTTGTTTCTTCCATTGACAGGATTTTATAGTTTACGATGTGCGGAGGGTTTTGTATGAGACGATTTCAGGATTTAATGGTAACTTGGAAGAGGAAATTAGCATGGGGAATCTTATAGAGACGCAATTCTCTGCCTTGAGAAGTGTTCTTAGGGTTTCAGAAGAAGAAAGTGAGTTTGCTGATGTGAGAGTTGCTTCTAAGATATTGAATCTGTACAGAACTGGTAGACTTGGACATCACACTCTAGAACATGTTTCTGCTTTAACCAAATCTTTTTAATAATGAAACAGAATGTTTCTACAATTGTAACCAACCAATTAAATTCGGCTATATAATGAAGAATTATGGCCACTTGAAAACATGCAACGCCAGATTTTCCCGGCGAACTCATCACCGTAACCACCATAGCAAGAAATGTATTCTACCTAAACCGGAACAAACCGAGTCAGTACCAAACTACTTTCTTGGTTAAATTCCGGACTGGTACACTAGATGTGGATTAATGCTATAACTGTTTTAAAAAAAAAAAAAAAAAACAAAAAAATAAGGAAACAGCAACAATTAACGGCCAAGTTTAAGAAAAGGAAAACATTAATCGTGTACATACTGAAAAAAATGGAAATAAACACGTAGATTAAACAAAAGGAAATAACTAAACCGTTTATTGATCCAAAGTTTAGAAAAAGGAAATCGAATATCCTACCCCTTTATATAATCAATCACCCCACCTGAAAAATCAAATTCATTCACTTCTCAGTTTCATCATCATCGCTCTCTTTTCTTTTCTATATTCTGAAACTAGGGTTTCTGCAATGAATGATCCACTAGTTAGAGTCGAGTCGAATTTCTTACCTCTTCCTCCATATCCAGGGCTTCTAAGCAAAATCTCGATCGACATACATGACGAGTTCGAAGAATTTGTTGAAGACCAAAACGGGATGGTTACACACTTAGGAACGTATCATCCTCCACATTTTCCAAGCATCGAGCTGATAACAAACAACTTCACTCCACGCAACATCTCTCAACTCCTTCAATCTTTCATCGAAGACACTCGGCTTTGTCAGATTTTGGGTGATAGGATCGGTCTTGATTCTGCTTTTACTTTACGTCATGGATGTGGGTGTTTTCAATTGTCGGTCGATGTCAAACTGATCAGAGAGGTTCTAGTTTTGTTACCGCCGTCTGTTCCTGTTCTGTCAAACGCTGCTTCTGATCATGTCTTACAAAGATTGGCCGACGAACAGAGTGTGGAAATCACTGGTTTGGAAGAGGGAGAAGAAAACGCAATATCGTGTTCAATCTGTATGGAGAATTTCTCGGAATCGAGTGATGATGAAAGCGTCATTAAGATGCCTAGATGTTTGCATCTGTTTCATCAAGGTTGTCTCTTTGAGTGGCTTAAGCAACAGAACTCGTGCCCGTTGTGTCGTCGAGTTCCGTATGGAGTGGATGATTACGAAGACGTAGCTTAGGGTTAGGGTTTTTTCGTATAATTTTGGTAACAAATCCGTCCTCTGTTTCATTGATTTTGTTTTTGTGTGTCAAATAGTTGATGTATGAGATAAGTTGGCAAGTTTTTATTACTATAAAATTGACTAATATTTGTTTCAGATTCTCCTACTTCTTCCTGTTTAAATAATTTCTTGACTTGCACGCTAATTACGATTGAATATAACATATTTAAGAGGAGACAAGACACATTTAGTCTACATGAAGAAAACCAGCTGCTTAGAGCCTTGCCTATAAAGTAAGAGTTCTAGGATTGATCGTACCATATTATAACTGTTGTAAGTTGGTTAGTGAAGGCTGAGTCAAACCCTAAACATCATTAAAACTGTTGTAGAAGAACTCTTTTTACACAGAAGATATATAAGCGGCTTTGTGTTTGGAAAAGTCTCCGCCTTTTCACAATTGGTACTTCGAATCCATCAGTAAGAGGAGGTTCGGGTTCTTAATCGGAGATGGGTTTGTGTATTTAGCCATTGTTGATGAGGTTTTAGGGAAAATCAGCGTCCTTAAGTTTCTAGAGCATCTCAGAGACGAGTTTAAGAAAGCTGCGAGGAAGAATAACATTAGAGGAAGCTTCACTGCGATGATTGGCTCTGTTAATGTTGAATACCAGCTTGTTCCTGTTGTTTCCAAGCTCATAGCTTCGCTTGAGCGTGATGCTGAGGCTGCTAACAACGATTTGAAGACTAGTAGTCTTGTTGAGCAGACGAATTCGACTAAAGCTCATGTGAAAGCTTTTGGGGAGGTTAAACAACAAGCAAGAGAAGAAGAAAGGGAAAGATCATGTGATCTCACTTAGAGGCATTGAGCTTGAAGAAGAACATAGGAAGTCTAATGATAGAGGTCACAGCGATGGTTCGTCTGCAGCAGCGACGTGGTTGCAGAGCAGAGGACGTTCTTCTGGCTCTCAGAGCTTTGAATGGAAGTGGAGGCGTTTAGTTGACACTGTTTAGTGGAGGCGTTCAGGTTGTGCTTGCTGTTGATGCAGCTATTTGGTTGACACTGTTTGGTATTTGGTTGGCTATTTGTCAGAGAGTCAAGTGTACACGTTAAGGACTTGTTCCGTTCTGCAGCATTGTTTGATTTGTATTGAAAACTATTGAGGCTCAAGTTCTTATTTTGGCTTAATGTATTAACTTTTAAGTCAAGTCTTTGTACAGATATGTACAGTTAGAGCTGCGTTGTTCTCTGTTCAGTGTTTTTTAGTGGTTTCACGTTATGGCAATGTCCATATTTATATGATTTCAATATTAGTCTCTGCAAGCTCTGATGTAAGTAACAACCAACATGTAACAGCTAGTTTGCATCAACATTGATTCTTCATTTGTTTTGGTATAAGTATCAGGAGTATCAATACTTGAGGGATCAAATTTGAAAAGGAATTGATAAGTATTGGCATTGACATTGAGTGTATTGATCTAGTTCCATCACACAAGTTTTAGAATTTGAGATATGAAATAAAAAGGAATCAATCAATGCAGGAAGTTAAAGTAGACTAAACAAGAAACGAGATTCATGTCATAATGTTAACTTCATTCATTAACGTATCTGAAAAATATCTGGGAACAACAAGTTACTAAAAATAGAGAAGAGAAGCAGTACTAATCTTGTTAATTACCCATTCAAACAAGTTACTAGACCAAAAACCTCCAAAGAATCGCCTGAAACTAAGAGATAACTGTGCGTGTAGATCAATCAAGTTCATAGTCTCAAGAGTGGGAAGAAACTTGTCAGAGACAGAGAGCAAGAGGAGAGCTACTCTGTGCCATGGAAGGAGAAGAAGGAGGAGGAGTGACAAGAGCAAAACAGAGGAGACCTCCCCACCTGAAACACCAGATACTGATGTTGTCGTTCTGTTTCAATCCATTAGCCGTTACGACATCGTTCCATCCGCAAGTCAAAGCATAGTTCCAGCTTCCATTCCCTGAATCTTTCTTCATCTCCCATCTTTTCAACATGACACCATATTTCACGTTCTGTTCATCCACAAGAATCGCTCCAACTCCTCTCTTGTTAGCGTTGTCGATGTCTTCTCTTATGACTCTCAGCTCCGAAGGTGTCAAGAAGTCTTTACAGATGAGTTCGTTGAAAGGCATAGAGAGACGGCTCTCACCAGGAGTCACATCTGTTTTGAACAGCTTCCTCTGAAAAATCAGCTTCAGTTCTGTCCTCTCTCCCCATTTGTTACAGACTCGTTCTTGTCTAGCATCAAATCGATTAGCGACTCAGGAGTCTCTCTCCCTATCCATGAGTACGTATCATCAAGCTCGCCTTCTTGGATTTAACAACAGCACGCTTGTTATCTTGCAGGGCACGTCTCTTGCGGCTCTTCTTCTCTGTTAGGCACGAAGACAGAGACAATTGGGAATTAGGGTTTCGTGGGATTCTCATCGTAGTCTTGTAATCTCCGAGAAAGGGTGAAGAAGGAGAAGAAGCAAGATTAGGGTTTTGTGGGTCTTTTCTCGGAATCATCAGCCGGGATCGTGTTAAGGTCGAGAAGAAGCGATGACGAAGAAGAAGAAGAGTGCCATTGAAGAGGGTTTCGCGGGTAAATCATCATCGCCGTCTTCTCCGGCTCAGCCGTGATCTTGTAATCTCCGAGAAGCGATGGAGACAAAGAAGAAGTAGAAGCACCATTGAGATTCTGATAGTTTTGTTGTGGGTTTCTTCTACTGGTAACAAATTTCTCCACCGAAGATCTTGGCTTTCTCGGGAAACGATGGAAGATTCTCTCGTCGCTTTCTTCTTTCGCTTCTTCGTAGAGCATAACGGCGGCATCAACCAAACAGAGGAAATTACGCGATGTCATGTCCTTCTCCGCAACGGCTACAAGATCACTGTAATACATGATCGATGATCGGACCTAAAAACCTAAACTTTGAGAGCAATAACTTGAGGAGGAAGAAGAAGGAAATTAGAATGAGAGAAATTGCGAATGAACGAATGTGAGAAAGAAAATGCCTCTCGTGCTCTCTTATATAGTTAAGCCCTCTGCTTACACTTTTTTCCTTTTTCCATTTTTCCGTGGAGCTTAGGGGTTTAATCATTGTGATTAGAGTCACTAACTATCTTTGCTTGTTGGAAATTTTCTTTTTCGTTGATAAAAATTCTAACGTTCGAAAAGTGACGTCATAATTACGGTTAGTCCCAATTTGAATTTAGAATTTCCTTTTCTACCAAGGTTGAGTATTGAATGTGTATTTTACTAGGAAGTTTCTGAGCTTATAGAATGCTTATAGAGTATTTTATTATTAAAGTTGTGTTAAGCACCCCTATTAAACATTAGTAGTTTTTTCTGCTTTAATGGGAGAATCCTATTGGAGTACTTAAAAAAATGATAATTTTTTTTTGCAGGAAATACATAGAATTCTGAATGTGTCATAACGCAAAAGCATCAACAAGGTATACTCTCAACTTTGTAGGAACATCTTGATCGATTCTTAATTCTGTTTCCTCATCTCCATCTCTAGTGGCTTCACCATTGTCTAAAGGAACATCAAGAGGTGTCCCTCTGTCATCAAGCTCAAGCACATCATCAGAATTCACCAAAATTTCATCACACCACAACGATCACTTCCCTCATCGAACTCACATTGGCTTTTCAATCCTTGTTCTCCGAGAAACTCTCGTTCAATCCGCGGAAGTTGTCCAGTGTCTTGCTGCTTTCAGCTTTTCTCTCATCTCCTTTAGCTTTACATTGTGTGAATCACACCTTTACGCGGCTCTATCAAACTCCATCCGGCTTCCTCCTTCGGTCCTTCCCATCTCCTTGCTGCATACATATTACAATATCACCTTATGAATTGGATATGAAGCAACCAAAAGAAGTGAAACAAACCAAGTGGCAATATGGCAAACGAAAAGAAACGAAAATCAATATGACTAACAACCTTGTTCAAAGAAGTAAAAGAGAAAACAAACAAGTGAACTCTAATTATTTTGGATTAAACTTGGAAGATAAGAGCATGCAAGTGGTATATTCAATTTGTGAGCAGATTCTCCAAGAAAATTCTCGATTGCATTATCAGATTCAAATCAGAGTAGAGAATGTCCAAGAGACACTCACCTCCAAACGGGCTCCCACCACCAAAGAAGGATGAGAAGATATCGAATGGGTCATGACCACCTCCTCCACCACCCGTTCCTTCCTTGAGTGTGTCTACTTCATACTGGTCATATATCTCTCTCTTCTCCGGGTTAATAAGAACTTCATAAGCCTGAGCTAGCTCTTTCAACTGCAATGACATGTATGAATTATTCCAATCAAGATCACAAATTTACACAATACCATCACAATTAAGTATATCAAAGCTCAAAATTGTCTTGATTTAAGAGAAACACAGCACGAAATCGAGTGAACCTAGAACTCATACTTTTCCGATCGGATCGAAATTTGAGATTAAAAACTCAACAAGCGCTCAATCGATCGGAAAATCGAAATCAAACTAAAAACCCAAGTAAGATTAAAAAAAAAAAACAGATACAGATCGAATTTTGATAGAGGTAAACCGTCATAGAATCTAAGCGAAAAGAGAAGGGATCTCGAGAGAAAGGAACCTTCTCAGGATCTCCACCCTTATCGATGAAACCTTTGAATCACCGAGTAGCCAAATCGTCAGCGAAGAGCAACGGAGAAGAGAGAGGGAGGAGGAGAGAGAAACGAAAGAGAAAAATGAGAAAATTCGTTTTTTTTTTCTTCTCATTAACCAACAACCAATCATTTTCTGCCACGTGGCAGTGAGCACCGGCGCTTGTTCTGCTTCAATAAGCGTCGACTTCTCCGTCTAAAATTGATTTTGATTTATATTTTGCCTAAGCGCTCCACTAAGCTTCCCCCATTAAACATGCTCTAAGTTTTCCTTGGCGATCTTTGCAAGAGAGTCACCGAGAAAATTCTTAGATCTAGGAACAAAATGAAACAAAATCGAAGTGAACATAGATACAAGAGTGAAGATGTCGAAAAGGAGACCATAGATCTCCTTTACTTGCTCCTGCGAGTTGATGGCTCGGATGAGATCCTGAGCGTCTGAGTAGAGTTTGATGTTGGTGATGCCGTGATCTAGTGCTTGGTTAAGTACCGATCGGATGGCCATTGCTTCCGCCATCAGTGGTGAAGAGATCGTTCTGCTGCTTTATCTCGTGTTGTTCGTTCCCGTCTTTGTCTACGAAGACCCATTCCGCTCCTCCGATGCAGGACTCCTTACACCAAGATCCATCCGTAAAGCAGGTAATGGTAATTGGGTTGACTTGTACGCTAGTTATGATTGAAAATTACGGAGCAACGAAACGGACGACTTGCCATGACAATAATGGTGAAAAAAAAAGATAAAAGATCAAGATGATGGGTAAGGACAAAACAAAAGATCTACGGCTTAAAACGTTTGAATCGATCAATGTTAAGTTGTTAACTAACTCAGCTTTTGGCACAAGGAACCAAGAATAAAAAAAAAACAAATCCCAAGATCGTGATCCGTGACTATTACAGAATAACAAAGTGTCTAACTTTAACCACCAGAGTTCAGTCGTAGAATAATGCGAGATTTTCCCGGTGACCCCCCCAAAAAAAGTCTAAACTTTTAAATCTAAATTATTAATGCTAGTATCTAAAACAAAACAAAAAAAATGATCAATTTCCCCAAATATCCCTTTATTAAACTCGAATAATTAAACTTTTTTTTTTTTTAAATCCTACAATATATTAAAGACCATGCAGTTTTGCTAATGTGGTAAGCTCTCAGTTTTTTTTGACTTATTTTTTATTTATTTTAATAAATTATTTACTTGCAATTCGGATAAAGACGCGGATCTTCGGGTCGGATCTTTCATTTACACCATAAAATCACTTTTCGGAAACTATATTACTGGGCCTTAATTAAACCCTGAAATGCACGAGTGACAGGCCCATTTTTGTTATAAATCCAGTCGGATATATGATTATTAATATTTCCAATCATATTGTCTTATACTTTACATATTTGACGTGATTGTACAAAGATACAATGGAAACATATATAGTTTATTGTATTCCCATTAAAAAAGATGCTAAACTTCTTCTTCAAGTTGTTCGACATTTCCATATATATTATTGTCATAATTAAGTTTTCTTGAATTTCCTTAAGTTAGAAATCCGATTTTAGTATTATTACCAAGTTAGAATAATCTAATATTACAAATTACATGAGTTAATTCCGATTACCAAATATCAATTTCATATCTTCTTCTTCAAGTTAATTACGGCATTCATTACTTTGACATGGAAGAATTAAGTTTTTGAGAACTTTCTAAATTGTATATCTGTAATTATAAGATAATATATACACATGTCAATCACAATACTACTTTCCATCAAATGAGATATGTAGTTAATGAAGGAGATATTCCCAGAGTGACTAAACCTAAACAGAGAACCAGCTGTTATTTTCTCTATTTAAACAGAACATTCTCCATGTAGAAGTCTCACCATCCTTCACACCGAAACCTTTATATTGTTAGTAAGATTTCATGCATTTTGTAATGAGTTTCGTGTTTGTAAGGAATATATTCTAACATATTATATGGTGAATTGCAGTGTCGTGCGACATGTTCTTCTCTAATGTCATTTACTTGAATAACATATTCTTAGTTTTTTTTTTAATAAGATTTGGTTCAAATATTTTCTTCTCTAATGCCATTTTTAATGTTAATGTCCGAATCAGAAACAACGCATGAAGGTTTGCACAATAACATGCAATATCTCCGGAAGGGATCGAGATGACATTTGCCTATATTAGTTATCCAGGTGATATTTTTTTCAACGATCATACTGTTAATCATGTTCTTAATCAATATCATCAGACCATTGTTGTTCAGGTAAATTGACTCACAAACTGAGACAGAGCTTGAAGAAAAGAGGCTACGAGTTGAAGATGCTCTTAAATCTACAGAGGTAAATTTTCTGAATCACGCTTAAATTTTCATTATGAGTATACTACATGGAACTATAATATTAATCTTGATTTCATTTAGCTTGAGGCTGCTGTTGAGGAATGTATCGCTGTTGTTTGTGGTTTCACTTTTCTTAGGTTTGCATCCAAAGTAGATGCCATCAATGTTACCCTTGAAAATGATTAGGAAAAGGTATAACCGGCAAAATCAAGAATTTACAGGACCTTCTTTAGGGATTTTGTGCAACTTGCTTTTCTCTGTCTCTATTTTCAACTATTCTTTAATTGTAGTTTGGAGCATATATCGTTAAAAGAGCACTTAGCGATGTTCTGAATAAAATTATGAACATTTTTACTCATGGCAATTATTAAAGTCTTATAGTATGTTCATTTATCTTAAAGATTTTGTGTTGCATGTTCTTGAATTCTTTTGTATTTTGTGTTTGTGTTCTTTGAAATTTATTATGAAACTGATATTTCTGATTCGAGTTACATTCTTTTTTGGAAAAAAAAGAATATATAGAGGAAAGAGCACTAAGCGATGTTCTGAATTAAAAGTATGAACATTTTTACTCATCGCAATTATTCAAGCTTGATAGTATGTATAGGTTTTAGTTTTGTTAATTAATAGTTGTCATCTTAAAGATTTTGAGTTGCATGTTGTTGAATTCTTTTGTATTTTGTGTTTATGTTATTTGAATTTTATTATGAAGCTGATATTTCTTATTTGATTTTGTTGCCTTTTGGGAAAAAAAAATTAATATATAGAGGAAAGAGCACTAAGCGATGTTCTGAATTAAAAGTATGAACATTTTTACCCATCGCAATATTCATGCTTGATAGTACGTTCATTTATATATAGGTTTTAGTTTTTTTAATTAATAGTTGTTATTTTAAGATTTTTGTGTTGCATGTTCTTGAATTCTTTTGTATTTTATGTTTGTGTTATTTGAATTTTATTATAAAACTCATATTCTGATTTGATTTTGTTGGCTTTTTGGAAAAAGTTTTATAAATAGAATAAACAAGACCAAAATCTGAACAAAAAGAAGAGGCCAAAGTTCTAAAAGAAGTCTTGCACACACCTTATTGTCAATGTGAAGAAGAAGATTCAGTCCTGTCAACTCTTTCATGCAGCAAAAACAAAGCATCACCCATGAAGAATGGGTTCGGTCGTACGGTTGAGCCAACAAACAACCGAAATCGGGTGCAATAGATTTCGGTTGTGCTGGTGAGGATTACTGGAGCACAGTTGGTGGAGGAGAAGACAGAGACGTCAGTTGAGGAGAAGATAGAGGTTTCAGTGAAGGAGAAGGATGTTTGAGTCTCATTTTGGAGTTCCTCTGTGTTTTCTGTTGTTGGAGAAGATAGGCACATCTTTGAGTTTGAAACCTTTTTAAGCAGTTTTGTGGTATGTTTAAATTGATCGTATATGTTTAGATCATATTTATACTGTTATGTGCTATTAGGACAAATATATGTTTAGAGTGTATTGTATATATGTGTGCTAAGCAATTGTAATCGCAAAATAAGAAATAAATGTTCTACTTTCATGGAAGCTTTATGCTAATGTTCAATGGTTATTGGTTGAGTGAACTGGAGTTTGAAAGATTGATATCTTTCTTAGTCTCTTCTATTAGAAATGACACTCATTTGTTGTTATCTTACGAATTTAATCATTGTAGAAACTATATAGTATCTATCTTTAATATATTGTTTTCTTTGATTATTATGTCTCCTGCATTGTGTAATGTTACAAGACATCTCGCTACGCCTTTATTCCACAATATATTCTGCGATCATAGGCTCTCGAAACTTGTATTATTTGCCCGATGAAAACCATTCACATGAAACTGAAAAAAACACCACAGCACAAATATAAAGACATATATTCAAAATCTCAATCCTATTTTATAATCGCATCTAAGGTAACTCTTGCAGCTAGAATCACAAGTTCATAACCAAAAAACGGTGTATACCAAAATTACTAATACTCATCAATAATTGAGATACCAATTCTCGCATATTTCATTAACAGATTTGTTCTCAAAACTTAAAGAACTTCACAAATTAATTTTCTTGGTTATATACTGATAAACCAAATCGCGTTGCAACGTCTAAGATAAAAAATTTTGGAGAATCACCAACAGTAGATAAAAGAATCATTAAGCAAATTGGAGATGAATGAAAAACCAAAGGCTATTAATATGGAAGTAGATCACAAATTGACACAAGGGATTTCTCTACAAAGAAATATATTACTAGAAATTCTTTAAGTGTAACTTATAAGTATGCTTAAACGAATTTGACAACCATAATCTATCCACGATTTGATTGCTCTAGTAACACTCTGTTCTCAGATCTATCCACGATCTTCGAACCTCTCAAGCCCTAACCCTTTGTCCTAGCTCTCTTACAAGATG